ATTTGCTTTTGTAACTTTTGATGATCATGACACCGTTGATAAAATTGTTGTTCAGAGATACCACACTATTAATGGGCATAATTGTGAAGTGAAAAAGGCCCTTTCTAAACAAGAGATTCAGCCTGCTGGCTCACAGAGAGGTCGTGGAGGTGGATCTGGCAACTTTATGGGTCGTGGAGGAAACTTTGGAGGTGGTGGAGGTAATTTTGGTCGTGGTAGAAACTTTGGTGGGAGAGGAGGCTGTGGTGGTGGCAGCAGAGGTAGTTATGGAGGTGGTGATGTGGAGATAATGGATTTGGAGGTGATGGTGGCAACTATGGTGATGCCCTGGTTACAGTGGTAGAGGAGGCTATGGTGGAGGTGGACCAGGATATGGAAACCAAGGTGGTGGATATGGTGGTGGTGGAGGAGGGGATGATGGTTACAATGAAGAGGAAATTTTGGTGGAGGTAACTATGGTGGTGGTGGGAACTATAATGACTTTGGAAATTATAGTGGACAACAGCAATCAAATTATGGACCCATGAAAGGGGGCAGCTTTGGTGGAAGAAGCTCAGGCAGTCCCTGTGGTGGTGGCTATGGATCTGGTGGTGGAAGTGGTGGATGTGGTAGCAGAAGGTTTTAAAAATACAACAGAAAAGGGATACAGTTCTTAGCAGGAGAGAGAGCGAGGAGTTGTCAGGAAAGCTGCAGGTTACTTTGAGACAGTCGTCCTAAATGCATTAGAGGAACTGTAAAATCTGCCACAGGAGGAAGGATCATCCATAGTCAGAAAAGAAAAGTTACTGCAGCTTCAACAGGAAACCCTTCTTGCGCAGGACTGTCATAGCCACAGTTTGCAAAGAGTGCAGCTATTGATTAATGCAATGTAGTGTCGATTAGATGCACATTCCTGAGGTCTTTTATCTGTTGTAGCTTTGTCTTTTTCTTTTTCTTTTCATTACATCAGGTATATTGCCCTGTAAATTGTGATAGTGGTACCAGGAATAAAAAATTAAGGAATTTTTAACTTTTCAAAAAAAAAAGTCAGTTTGGTAGTTTAATGTCACTTTTTCTCTGGAGCTACTTCTCCTCTTATATTCTCTCACTACTTTTTAAATGTTTTCTGGCTTGACTTCAATACTGCATTCGATGTGATCAAATATGGGCATTTTCATTCATTGTAAACCTGCTGTGTTTGTTTCAGATTATTTGTCAAAACTGAGAAGTTCTAAGTTTGAAGATTTCTTTATACCATTCCTAACCTCCCTTTTTATATCCATGATACTAAAGCCAAGATGCAGTCTCTGCAGCCAGCAGGACAATGCCCTCCCAAGAGATGGCTACACCTTGGTCTCTGAAACCCATAAACATGCAGGAAAAGGACCTACTATGGGAAAGGGACCTTGCAAATAGCATTAATGTTACAGGCTGAGGAGGGGGAACAGCAGCTGAACATGGGCTCTGGCCAGCTGAGGACAGCTAGAATTTGAAGTCAAGGGGTTTGAAGCTATGGGATCATGGGTTGTGAGGTTGGGCACTCCTATCCCTGTCCTCCCTCTGGCTCCTACCTCTGAGGCATGAAGTGAGGCTGATCTCTGTGTCCTGAACCACTGCTGCTATGAGGAACTGAAAGATACCAATAACAATGGCCATGCAGGAATCAAGCTTCTATAAAGGCACCAATAGCATTTCTCCTATGTCATGACTTCATCTGGATGCTAAAATGGGTTTTATTACTAAAGATAATTTTTTGCTGTGGGTAAACACTGACCCAGACCCAGATCTATTGAGTATTTTAGACATGCTTACGTAGAGAAATGAGTTCAGACAGAGGTCATTTTTTTTTCTTCATCAGTGAGCACTTGCCTTTAGTCAGAAAGGTACTCACCAAGAAAAATATCAACAAGGTTTTCTATGTTATAGAAAAGGAGACAACAGATA